TTAGAACTCAATGATTATTCTAATTATATTTTAGATTTTTATATTTAAAATGATATGTTTATCCTGTATTTGATTATGTTTATCTGCAGTTAGTTACACAAATTTAGATATGGAGTTTTAATAAGTTGTATTTACGTACAATCTACTTGTAATATTGAGTTTAAAGTAATATGCATTAATAAACAGTATTTTATGCATAAAAAGTGGTTTTTAAGCGTTCTTATCAAATGCTTTATAATATAGTATAATTTTTTTCAAAATTTTATGATATCTTTAAATTTATATTTTATTCAAAAATAAAATTATTATTGTTTTATTAAAAACACATAAAATCGTATTATAACATCGACAGAGATAAATAATAAAATAAAACATTAATCAGGATGTGTCTCGCTGTATTGCGCGAGTACTCTTGTAGGTATTTCTAAAATTCGTTTATCTTGTACTTGATTTTTATTCGTTTAATCGAATATAGAACGACTAAACTACATGCATAGATTATTATGTATTTATGGTTGTTATAGTATAACATCTTATTTCAAAGAATGCTCCCAGCTACAACATGAAGCATACGCTTTGATCACGTCAACCGACAGACCATGCTACTATAAATACAAAATATCTTCCTTCTTTTCTGTGTTATAAATTTTATGGGGTTATGTTGACTTATTTACGATGACTTGATTTGTAATAAAAGAATGAGAAACAGGTGAGTCTTGATGTGAGTTGGAAGCTGTTAACAAATTAATTTTGTGCATATTATATGTTTTAGTAAACTTGTGTGACAGGCAATGTCTTGTGGTAATAAATTCCACGTCATCAACCAAACGCAATTGAAATTGATGGTGTTAAATGTATTGAATTTTGAATGACTGAAAGAAAAATGTAATCCAGATGAGCCAATCACAACAAACCATCATCCTATCCTTTCCACTTTCCATCTTCCTTCTTTATTATAATATCACATCCTTCTTCCTTCTTCCTTCTTCCTTCTTCTCTGTCCGTAAAAGAAAAGAAAAGAAAAGAAAAGAACAGAAAACCCAGATACAGAGTATGGCAGCCACACTTGCTTTTCTTCAAATCCCTTCTACTCTTCCCTCTAAATCATCACATTCACAATGCTTAATTCCCTCCCCCCCTTCCATTAAAATAAATCATCCCATTACCCTCCACCACTTGAAGTCTGCTTCTCTCCCTCTATCAGCACTCACATTATCTTTCCTTTTAAACCCACAGGCAAGCCTTCCTTTCTCAGCTATTTCCTCTGTTCATCTATACAAACTTCAATGGCCCACCTGTTGTTTTGAAAAAAATAAATCATCTTTCATTAGGTTTTTCTTTTTTCTTTTTTGGGAAACAGGATGCATATGCTGCTGCTGGTGAATTTGGGATATTGGAAGGGAGATCATTGGCCTTGATTCATCCAATTGTCATGGGTGGTCTGTTCGCTTACACACTATACGCTGGGTATTTGGGTTGGCAATGGAGGAGGGTAAGAACATTACAAGATGAGATTAATGATTTAAAGAAACAGGAGAAGCCAGTTGCTGTCACCCCTGAAGGAACCCCACTTCAACCCACAACTCCTTCCCCAGTTCAAGCCAAGATTCAACAACTGTCTGAGGTTTGCTCAAACTGATTTGATTTATAAATTTGCAAGAATAGCTTGTTGAACTTCATAAGAAATACTAGTATTTTCTGTAAATTTCATTTTCTCTCCGAATAAAATCACAGGAGAGGAAGGAGTTGATCAAGGGGCAATATCGGGAAAAACACTTCAATGCAGGTTCAATACTGCTTGCATTTGGTGTCTTTGAGTCCATTGGTGGTGGAGTCAACACTTATCTCAGGACAGGGAAGCTATTTCCAGGACCCCATCTATATGCTGGTGCAGGTAATTTACTTGTTATTGATATTCTTTGGTTAAACAATAAATTGCTATTGCATCCCTTTGATTTGAATTGTATGACCATAAAAACATTTAGGAAGATCACAACCAATTTAGCAATAACTTTGTGATGGAGGTCATATAAAGTACTGATTTTGGGACTTTGTTGAGCAGCAATAACAGTATTATGGGCTGCAGCTGCTGCATTAGTACCCCCTATGCAGAAGGGAAGTGAAACAGCCAGAAACCTTCATATTGCGTTGAACGTGTTAAATGTTCTCCTTTTCATATGGCAGATCCCCACCGGGTGGGATATTGTTCTTAAGGTGTTCGAGTTCACCAAATGGCCTTGATTCAAGTGACATACAAATGAACAGTGAGAATAACATTTGCATATCAAACACAGTTGGTTATGACAGCCCATTTTGTTCAAGTACCTTTTGAATATGATATCTGCCTGTGACTAGCATCCAAATTTCTAAAGCTGTATTATAGAGATTTTACAACCACAAAACATTTGAAAATGGAAATTTTTTATTATTCATCTTGCAAATTGCTCACGTATATATATCTATATATATATATATATATATATATATATATATATATATATATATATATATATATATATATATATATATATATATATATATATAGTGCACGGACCTTCTTAGTCATCTCCACGGGATTGGATCTAAAAAAGAACCAGAATCCATGCTTTTTTTTTCCATAATCTAATAAGTAGGCATAAACTAGTCAAATTATTCACTCTCACAGTAATAGCTAGCTACATGATGATAAAGAAACACAAGAAGTTGATAGTCTTCTCTTTCTCGCTCTCTAGTTTATGTGATCCTTGAGTAAAAAGCGATGGCCACCACTGGGCTTCCTTGAGAGAGAGAGATGGATACCAGGGTCATGATGAGTGGTGGAACAATTGTAGAGAATCGAATTGTTTACACCCTGTACGTTACTATTCATGACTGCAGTAGTGATGAGTGGTGACTTTGATTTCTGATTCTTGTTCTTCGCCTTCGACTTGCCATCTGAATTAGTTCCCGACTTGTCGCCATCACTTGAAGCAGTCGGATTGTCTTTTTTCATGTGGAGGCTGTGTGGGTTGTTTCCAAACTTATGAGTCTTGTTGCCAAAAGGGGTGAAGTCCATGATAGCTCCTTTGTTTTCACCTGAAATTGTTATAATCGTCATCCCAAGATCCTCAGAGTCCAGGTGGTTTTTAGAAGCTTCTGGTTTTTTGGGTGCTCCATTTATTGGGTTATGAGTATCGGGAGCCATATGTCTACGAAGGTCACCATTGTTCAAATTAGCTTTAGGCTTTTCTTTTGTTTCTTGTACAAGTACGCTCTTTTGATCGTATTGTGGTGCATGGTAGGACTTAAGTTGTGGTGAAGGGAGAGCCAATGGAGATGGAGGGTGAGAAAGAGGCTTGATGTTAGGAGATGGAGGTGAGGTTTTTTCTAGTGGTTTGACAGTTTTTGGAGGGGAAGATGTTGGAGTGGCAGCTCGGTTGATGGTTGGGGCCATAGTAGCTGTCAAAGATGGTGCGGTGGAACGTGATGGCGGAGAGGAAGTTGCGACTGCTGATGGAGGTAGAGATGGTTGCAATGGTGGAGTGCGAGGGTTTGAGGAAGGAGGCACGGGGCGTGAGTCCTTGGGAAGTGTAGGTGATGATGGTTGTGGTGCTACAGCATTAGCAGGTGGTTGTGGAGGAGGTGGGGCTTGAGTGAATGCGGGTCGAATGAAGGGTGGGCGTGGTTGGGGTGGGGAAGGGGGTTGAGGGGTTGGTGCAGATGGAGGTGGACGAGCCATGGTGGCTAATCGGAACCATGGACGGGATGGAGCTCCTTGCTGGGTAGCCATTGGTGAAAAATATGTATTTGATGTGAGGGATAGATATATAGAATGTTTATATAGAGGGAAAATAAAAACAAGGTGGGATTGAGGTGTTTGAGAGATTGGGGAAAGAATCAGATTCCGAGAGTTGCTAATGAAGATTGGTATCAAATCCCAGCTAGGTAGCTTGGACGACATTCATGCATGCAGCAAACAAATGAAAAAGGGAAAGAAGCAGTATAGATATGGGGCCCAAAAAAGGGTTAGTTTTGGATCGTAAAACATAAATCTTATTATATAGTACATGCATATATTCCTTAAACTTTCAGCAAAAACTTATATATATATATATATATATATAAAATATATATTGTAAAAAAAGCATCAGATTTAGCAAGTAATTAATATATATGCATGAAAGCTTCACGTTGACATTTGTTTTCAATTAACTTCCAAACTGGTTTCTGTTGGCTTTCAGAAATGGGTGGGTGGATATCAAATTGATTGTTGATGACATATTTGTTTGTTTCAGAAAGAAAGAAAGAAAGAAAAAAAGTAGAAGTAGATTTAGTGGGCATTTTGAACGTGACATCTTTATTTCCCACTGCACCAAGGATTATTCTTTCCAGTTGGCTGAATCTTATATATAAACATCATCACGTTCAAAATCTGTTTTTTTTTTTTTTCAATAAACACGAGGATGTTTGGTGTTCAATCAAAATAAAAAATCCAACTGAATCAGGTTTAGGTTAAATGATTCCATCAAAGCCTTCCCTTAATATGTTAAATGTGAGATTTTGAACAGGTCCTTGAAATTTTGGGGCCCAAATTTACATAACTACCACACAGGGGAACTTTTCCAGCGGCCAAATCCACCGCAAATCCATTTTACCGGCGGATATGGCCGTCGGAAAAGTTGGCGCCGATGATTAGTTTTCCGTGGAGTTTACTAGCAGATGCTTTATTTTACCGGTGGATTCCGGCCGCTGGAAACAGTTCGCCGGTTTAATTAAGAAATATCGGTTTACTTAATTAAAAAATTTAAGATTTTTTTAAAAATTAATTTAATTTACCGGCGGAATATTCCGCCGGAAATCCGTCGCTAGAGATGGCCAAAAACCGGTCCCGGGCCGGTCCCAATCGGTCCTCACCATTCTCATAACCGGCCATAACCGGTCCCGGTCGAAAATGATAGGACCGGTATAGGTACTTTATAACCGGTTATGGGCCGCCGGTCCCGGTCCCGGTCCCAACCGGTCCTTCATTAAAAAAATAAGATTTTTTATTTTATTTTTTTTAATAATATATATTTTTAATACATTATAAAATTTACAATTGGGTCACTCAAATACACTTTAAAAATGCGTTTTAATATAATTAAAATTACGTTTTCTTATAAAAATACATTATAAAATTATTTAAAAATACATTTATTTATAAAATTAATTGAATTTTCGGGCCGGGCCGGGCCGGTCCATAGTCGGTCCCATAACCGGTCCCGGTCCCACGAAACTACCAAAAACCTCAACCGGTCCCGGTTTTCGGTCCCATAACCGGTCCTTACCGGTCCCGGTCCCGGGCCGGTCCTTTGTCGGTCCCGGTCCCGGTCCTCCGGTTGTCCCGGGCCGGGCCGGGCCGGGCCCATTTGGCCATCTCTATCCGTCGTTAAGAAAGCCCAATGCATTCCACTAAAGCCCCATACGTTCCATGAAAGCCTAATACGTTCCAATAAAGCCTAATACGGTCCAATAAAACCCAATACGGTCTATTAAAACTCAATACGGTCCATTAAAACACAATACATTAAATCCCAATACGGTCTATGAAAACCCAATACGATCCCTTAAGAAAAGAAAAGTTTGAAAAATGGGGAAAAAAAGAATATCAACTGGAAAATGTTAAAATAATTTATAATTTATAATTAATTTCCGGTGGATTTGCGGCGGAAAATAATTTTAAAAGATTAATTAAATATCCGGCGGATAATAACTTTAAAAGATTAATTAAATTTTTGCCGGAAATCCGCCGGTAAGTTATTTTGATTAAACTTAAATACAAGTCTAATATAATTAATTAAGAAATCCGTCGGAAATCCGCCAGAATTATCACCTGAATAATATTTCCGGCGGATTTTCTGCGGAAGTCAATAGAAGTTGATTTTTTTGATGTCCTTTGGAAATCCGTCGGAATAATTCCGGCGGATTCCGTCCGCCGAAAATGGCAGTTTTCTGGTAGTGCATGTGTTTAGGGTCTTTTTATCGACCTGTGTAAAACTATAACTGAAATTATTTAAGTTCAAACAATTATTTGGTTCTAAGTTTAAAGCATTAATGGTTTAGGTTTAGTTTCAGATTGTTAAATCGTTTTATGTTTAGCCCAATTTTGTTCTTAACATATATTTTCTGTCATCTCATTTATGCAACGTAATCAAAAGTTTTAGATGTAACAGAGCCTTCAAAAAGATTAATTAATTAATAATCAAAATACATCAAAGAGAATGTTTTTATTTTTGAATAAAACATAAATTTAAAAATATCATATAAAATTTGTAAAAAAATATATGTTAATATTAGTATATTAACTATTTAAAATTTTTTATTTGTGTATTTTTTTTAATTCAAATTTTTTATTATAATTTAATTCATGGTAACCGAGTAACTTAATTTAGGTTTAATAATATTTTTTCTTTATAAAAATAATAATTAAGTATTCTGTTAAAACTCAATAATTATCCTAAATATATTTTAGATTTTTTATATTTTAAAATAAGATGTTTATCCTCTATTTGATTATGTTTATCCGCAGTTAGTTACACGAATTCAAACATAGAGCTTTGATAAGTTGTACTTATACACAATTTATTTGTAATCTTGAATTTTAAGTAATATGCATTAATAAACAGTATATATATATGCATAAAAATGATTTTTAAGAGTTTTTGTCAAATGTTTTATAATATAGTATATATATATATATATATATATATATATATATAGTTTGTTTCAAATACAACTTGTTGCATTTGTACAACCAATGCAACCCAATAAATTGAGATATTTATGGAAATGATGAGAGTTCATTTATTATGATTTGAATATTTATGAAAGATGAATATGGTTCATTAATTATGATCAATACTTTATATTAAGAAACAATCAAAACTTATATGAAATCACATATTAATCAAATGAAATGGACGATTGAGATTGAGTTATATTTGTTGCACAAATGTCATGGGTTGTATAATAACCAACCCCCCCTCTCTCTCTCTCTCTCTCTCTATATATATATATATATATATATATATATAACTTGGGTAAATAAAAGAAAATGAAGAGAATGATTGACGACTAATCTATCCTTAAGGAACTGTCTTGGGAATTGGAATATGATCGATTGTTTTGACTAAATTCCAATTTTTTTGTTCTGTTCATAATGTAATCATTTGAATTTTATAAATCGATGAATTTTTATCATTCTTGAAGGAATTAAATTCAATCCTTCAATTTAACCAATACCTCCCCCCCATGGCACTATTAATTGTTGTCGGCATCACAGCAACTATTGATTTCGAATATATATATATATATATATAGTATGTTGTTAATTAAGAATTAAAGTGTTAACAAGAATTTTGCAAGTGTTGGTCTCTCCTTTGGCAAGAATTTTATGCGGAAAACCATTGTGTTTCAATGACTAGTGAGATAATGAAGGGAATGAATTCCTATATATAGCTAGCTTCAATTCTCTAGTACCAACTGAAATTAAACAAATGAATTGTGAGTTAAAATGAGTGTGGTTGATGTTTTGTTTCGTGTGGATGCACTATGCAAGAAGTATGAAAAATACGACATTGATAAGCAACGTAAGCTCAACGCCTATGGAGATGACGCATTTGCCAGCCTCCTCGCTTCTTTCGATTCTCAAATTGAAGCCGCTCTTCGTGTATTAATTCGATTAATATATATATATATATATATATATGTCCATGCATGAAATATATATATATATATATATATACATACATACATATATAATGAGATAATATTGTTTCATGCATGCATGATCTCTTAATGTATGTTTTTAATTTAGAAATCAGAAATGGCATCGATGGAAACAAACAGGGCTAGTGTGGTGGCCATGAATGCCGAGATTCGAAGAATGAAAGTGAAGTTGATGGATGAAGTGCCCAAACTGGAAAAACTTGCCAAAAAGAAGGTCCATTCATACATCTTAAATTAATGAACTGTTTTAATTTTCTGAATTAATTAAATACAATTACATGCATGAGATAATATATGTATTAGGTGAAAGGGTTGTCAAAAGAGGAATTAGCGGCTCGATGTGATATGGTTCTTGCACTACCCGAAAGGATTCAAGAAATACCTGATGGAACCAGAAGCAGATCATCACCCCATTCATCTACTACTACAAAGATTAACTTGGATTCAGGTAATTATGCATTCATAATCATGATTTCAATGAATTATTAATTATTAATCAGGTATATGTATATAGACCGCATCTTTGGAGATGAATATTTCCAACAAAGTGAAGAATCAAAGCAGTTTAGATCAGAGTATGAGATGAGGAAAATGAAGCAAGATGAAGGTTTGGACGTCATATCGCAGGGTCTTGATACACTCAAGAATTTAGCTCATGACATGAACGAGGTTTCAATTTCATTAATTAATATATAATATATAAATTAATTATAATTCTAAACCAATTAACCTGTACCTGGTAATTAATTAATTATACATATGTTTGTATAAAAATCTGATCAGGAATTGGACAGGCAAGTTCCCTTGATGGATGACATTGAACAAAAGGTTGACAAAGCATCAAGTGACATTAGAAACACCAACGTCAGACTCAAGGAGACTCTCATTAAGGTAATTGTAATTCATTCATTCATTCATTCCATTTCTCATATATATATATACCAATTAATTAATTTCATTTTATGTATATATACACACATATTCCATTTCAGATGAGGTCTACTCGAAACTTTGTAATCGACATCATCTTGTTATGTATAATCTTAGGCATCGCATCGTATTTGTACAAGTAAGTTTCGATCTCTCTCTCTCTCTCTCTCTATATATATATATATACATATATATGTATGATCATTAATTTATGTTAATTATTCGTTGAAATTAAGTAAATAGTTGCTGATGAAACAAATTAAGTGCAGTGTGTTAATGGAGTGAAGCAGCTCATGATATATATATATATATATATATATATATATATATATATATATAATGGCTTCTGAACAAGGGGCATGCAGTGAAGTGATGTGAAGTGAAGTTATGATGGTTGATTGATTATACATTTTTTATAATTCTTGACCGATTATCTATCTATCTATTTGTGTCTATGTATATACCTAATCATCGATTGTGATTGCACGCCACAAATCCTTGTTAAAATTTGAATAATTAAAGATTGACATAAATAAAAATAACCAAATAAAATAGCCTCCATAATCGCATTACTTGCAACTCACACCATTTTTTCTTTCATCTTCATCTTCATTAATTAGGATTTTTATATTTTAGTAGGATTTATTTAATTAATTAGAATCGCATTACTACTTTTATTATTTTCCTACTTAATTAATTAAGCTTTTCTTGTTTTGTAATCTCAATGTTTTAGACACCTCTCCATTAATAAATTTAGGCAATTCTTGAGTTTCTCAACTTTGGGTTTTACCATTCCACGTCTCACGTCTCTTGGTATCAGACCTCTGATTAATATCTGATGGCTAACGATGGAGAAAAAAAATATCAAGACAACAGTCTTGAAAGCTTGTGAAAGATATCGCCACCGGATTCACTCAACTCAACACAAATGTAAAAGAGTTACATATCGCGATCGTAGCCCGTGGATTGCACCATGAACATCGCGAAGATGTTTCCCATGGTCAACCCCACCAACACCAAGGCAACAATGGTGGTCATGGGTTAGGCACGGTATATCACCTCAATTCGGTAAATAACTGTAGACTGGATTAATTCAAGATATCCAAAACAAAATGTCTACTAGCGCCCAAAACAAACCCATTTCCACTCAAAATATCCAACCAAAATATCGGAGCAAGTTTTAGCAATGTCGGTTGAACTCCAACAACTCCCAACAACCCAAACACCATACCTAGAGGAATCACCTGCTACCGATGTGGGGAACTGGGTCATCAATCGAATGAATGCCCAAAATGACGGCAAGCGTTTGTGACCGATTATGAAGATGAAAAGATACACCCAGAAGAACTTACGAAAGAGTATGCTGAAGTTGATGGCGCACCGATAACTTATGTGCTACAAAAGATTTTGTGCTCATCTAAAATTCGTGAAGACTCTCAAAGAAACAATATTCTTCAAGCAAAATGTTTCATTGGTCAAAAGGTATGTACTTTAATGATTGATAGTTGTAGTTGTGAAAATCTTGTTTCAAAGGCTTTGGTCCCTCATCTTAAACTTCCAACCGAGCCACACCAAATCAGGGCCCGCAATTTAAGTAAAGGAGATTTGCAAGCTTCCGCCATAGATTGGGAAAACATACAACGACAACGCAACTTGCGATGTCGTTGTATTGGCAGCATGATGCAAATGCTACTTATAGGGGTAGGCGGAATATGTACCTCTTTTCTTGGCTTGGAAAGAAAATCGCAATCTCACCTACCGGTACGTAGTGGTCAAGACGAATTAGAAAGGCTCTCATACCGCACTCAAGTTGGTTGAAGACGTGCAAAAGACGCATGCCGAGGTCTAAGAAAATATTGCTCAAGCAAATGCCAAGTACAAAGCAGCGGCCGACAAACATCATCGCGTCAAGGTAGGAGACGAGGTAATGGTTTATTTGCGTAAAGAACGGTTTCCTATTGGGACATACGCCAAACTTAGTCAAAAGAAACATGGTGCGTACAAGGTGATGCAAAAGATAAACGATAATGCATATGTCGTTGATGATGTAGACCAGTTAGCCCGAAAGATCGACGAGCAG